TTTGTTTGCTTACTTATTTGTTTGTTTGTTTGTTTGTTTGCTTACTTATTTGTTTGTTTGTTTGTTTGTTTGCTTACTTATTTGTTTGTTTGTTTGTTTGTTTGCTTACTTGTTTGTTTGTTTGTTTGTTTGTTTGTTTGCTTGTTTGTTTGTTTGTTTGTTTGCTTGCTTACTTGTTTGTTTGTTTGTTTGTTTGTTTGTTTGTTTGTTTGATTGCTTGTTTGTTTGTTTGTTTGTTTGTTTGCTTGCTTACTTATTTGTTTGTTTGTTTGTTTGTTTGTTTGTTTGGGTAAAAAGGAGCACATTGACACAATAATGGTCATTTAGTGCTGGGAGAAAAGTAAGATAGACAATAGACATACAGAAACAACAGAAGGAAAAAGTTAACACAAGTGGGGGCCAACCAGTGACGCCCACCAACCACTCGTGTCACTGAGTGCACACGTTCTAGAAACTTAACGAACGCGAGCTAATAGCCTTCTTGTACAAACTGAATTTTACCTGTTTCGATGAAAGTAAGCTCTGAAATTCTATCGACAAAACGGGAGTCAGTGACGGCCATTGACCGCGATAATCTATCCTTTGTCCAACGTTTTCAGTCCGAGTTCAGCCACACACAGATCAGCCCCTGTGTGTGCGTGCCACCGAGTGCACTAGAAACAACGCCAGCTTAAGGCTTTCTTATACAGTATACGATGATGGGGAACTTTCAAAAAGCAGGGATTTCCGAGAAAATACGGAACGTTTGGGGCACTTATTACTAGATTTTTGCCTGTTTTGATGAAGAAATAACTAAATTTCATCGCCAAAACTGGAGTTGGTAGAAAATGAAACACAGAAAAGTCTTCGGGACACGAGCATTAAATACGATAGTCTACTTTGACGTCTACAGTACAGTCCGCCCCCAGCACGCAAAGATCCGCCCGTTATAGTGCACTAGATCTAGAAAAATGTAAGGCGAGATTAAGGCTTGATTGTACATTTAACTAAATTTCGCCTGTTTTGAAGAAGAAAGTACTAAATTCCATGGCCAAAACGGGAGTTGGCACAAAACGAAACAAAAATTCTACGGAGTACGGGTATTAACCGAGGTAATCTATACTTTGTCTCATGTTGACAGTGACAGTCCCAGCGTAGAGGTCAGCCCTTGAGTGCGGGCCACCGGGTGCACTGGAAACATAACGCGAGCTTATTGGGTTCTCGTACGTACTAAATTCTGCCTGTTTTGATGTAAAATGCTTTGAGAGCACTGAACGTCTTTGCAGAAAACGGGGGTTAAATTAGTTTTGTTTGTTGTGGTGAGGTAGGGGTTTTACGGCACTCGCAACTGCATATGAGCGCGCGGGACACACTGGGCGTTTTTGGTTTGTTAGGAATTAATTTTGAACTGTGCCTGGGTGGCGGCCGAAGCCTACTTTTATCGATATTAGGACCACCAAGGGACCTTCAACGTGCGCAACTTGCACACGGGTCCTCCGAGATTTTTTCGCCGTTATCTGAGAAGGCTA